TGAATGCCAGAACTCCACAGCCTTAACTCCCCTGAAGACCCATCCCCTCCATATGCCCTCCTCCTAGACCCCCAGAGGTCTATCTCCCTGGAGCTATGACCCATCCTTTTCCCTCCACTTCTCTTAATCCAGGAGCTGAGTAAATTGATTCCTAAATCCACCGTAGGGGAGCTGAGCGAGAACTCCAGCAATGTGCTGCAGCTCATCATGGACGCTTACAACGTGAGGGCCTGGGGTGTGGGGAAGAGTGGTGAGGGCCGACACTGGGGAAAGTTGGAAAGGGGTCCTTGGGCAGGGTGGAGGTGGCAGAACTAAGAGGGTCTAACCTTTTGGTCCAACCCTCCACTGGTCTACCCTACAGTTTGCATGTGACTGTCATTAATAGTCACTCAATCTTACATTTATAAATCCCTGGCATCTGCTATGTGCAAAGCATGGAGTCCTACTCTGGGCAAGGGAGGAAACATTCACTGAGCTTTTAGTTCATGCCAAGCACTGTCTTAAGTGCACATACTGTTTGCTATCTCATTTAACCCCACCCAAACCACTGCTTGGTAGCTATCATCATCCCTCTTTTAGAGATGAGGAGGCACACAAAAAAGAGGCTAAGTCACTTGCCCAAGGTCACATAGATCACAAATGGAAGGGCTGGCATTTGTCCTCTGTCTGTACACAAAGAATGTGAGACCTGGAGCCTGCTTTCAATAAGCTTGTAAACAATTCAGAGATATACTTCACTGAGCCATAGAATTTTACAGGTGGAAGGAACCATAACAATTTGGGTTTCTTGGGTTTAGGTCTTATCTCTGCAATTAGACTGTCACCTTCTTGATGTCAGGAGCCAGACCAGTTGCTGTCAAGTTGATTCCAACTCATGGACACCCCTGTGTGTCAGAGTAGAACTGTGCTCCATAGGGTTTTCATGGCTGTGATCTTTCAGAAGTAGATTGCCAGGCCTTACTTCCAAGGTACCTCTGGCTGGATTCAAACCACCAACCTTTTGGTTAGTAGCTGGGGCTTTTTGTGCCACCCAGGGACTCCTTGATGGCAGAGACTGTGTCCTAAATCTATGGCAAGTAAATCTGAGGCAGTATCAAATTTCCCAGGACAAACCTAATTTAAAGACTCCGCGCTTTACACCTGGTATGTACACAGGTTATAGGTCCTGACGTGGAGTTTGACAATCGTGGTCACTGCACGTTTACAGTGTCTGGCCAGCCCTTGACCTCTAGCAGGCCCTTGCTGGCAGCTACACTGAAGTGTTGTGTTCAGGCCTTTGAGGATCCCATGCACTTCACTCACAGTTCTGCCCAGCTCCTTCCTCCAGAAATGCGTCTTCACTGGGCAGAGTGGAAGGAGCCTCAGAGCAGATGGAGGGCAGGGTTCTGGCAGATTTGGAGTCACTGGAGAGAACATAAGGAGTCCCTGGGTGGCATAACTGGTTAAGCGCTCAGCTACTAACTGAAACATCAGTGGTTTGAACCCACTCAGAGGGGCCTTGCAAGAAAGGCCTGACGATCTGCTGCTGAAAGGTCACAGCCATGAAAACTCTATGGAGTTCAGTTCTATTCTGCAACACATGGGGTCGCCACGAGTCAAAATCAACTCGATAACTTTTTTTATTTTTTTTTGGAGAGAACATAAGATGGAATTGGAGTCCCGCCTTCATGTGGTTACTCACTCCCTGTCTTCCCACAGAGCTTGTCGTCCACAGTGACCCTTCAACACGTTTCACCCCTTCCTGGGGTCCACATCTCTTATGAATCCCAGTGTGGTGGTCCCGAGAAGAGGGAGGGTGAGACTGGGGATCGCGGCCAGTGCAATCACGTCCAAATCAACCAGACGGTGAGAGCCAGGAGAGGCAGAAGGAAGGCTGTGGGATTGAAGACTGGGTATGAGTGGGAAACTGAAGCAAGCAGGAAAAGATGGGCACAGAGAACAATGTAAAAGCATGGGGGTAGTCCTCTATTCATCCTTTCTGAGGGGGTTTAATGGGAAGCTGTGTGGGTGTGGGTGTGTGTGTGTGTGTGTGTGTGTGTATGTGTAAACTTAGTCTGATTCCTCAGGTGAATTTCTGGGTTACTCTCCAAGCTACCCGCTGCCTCACAGAGCCCCAACTTCTGAGGTTCTGGGCCCTTGGTTTCTCAGAGGAGCTGACTGTGGAGTTGCACACACTGTGTGACTGCAATTGCAGTGACACCCAGCCTCAGGCTCCCCACTGCAGTGATGGCCAGGGGCACCTGCAATGCGGGGTGTGCAGGTGAGAACCTCCTGCTTCCTTTCACTCATTTGGCTCCCAGGTAATAACCAACCCCGATTCCTACTGGAAGTCTTCCATCCTCCCACCAGGGTCTCTAAGCATCTTTTCCTAGAAGTCCTAAGACTCCACCCTGAATTTCCTCCCCTGAAGCCTCTCAGATATGCCCAGACCCTGCCCTAGACCAGAACTTCTTCTGCTCTTCTACCCCTTGGTGCTCCACTGTACTCCAGCATCCCTTCAGCCATGTCTCTTTCCAACCCTTGTGGGAACTGGGTTTAGACGACCCTGGGAAAGACACATCAAGGGATGGTCAAACTCTGGGACCCACCTTCTCCCCACCGCCCCCTTGCCTCCTTCTAGCTGTGCTCCCGGGCGTCGGGGCAGGCTCTGTGAGTGCTCTGAGGCTGAGCTGTCCTCCCCGGATCTGGAGTCTGGGTGCCGGGCTCCCAATGGGACAGGCCCCCTATGCAGCGGGAAGGGACGGTGCCAGTGTGGACGCTGTAGCTGCAGTGGACAAAGCTCTGGGCGTCTATGCGAGTGTGATGATGCCAGCTGTGAGCGACACGAGGGCATTCTCTGTGGAGGTACCTGGAGCTTTTGGGAGAAGGGTAGGGTCAGAGAGGCTCTCCTGAGGGCACTTAGGCTCTGGGAGCTACATGGCACTATGAGCAAGTATCAAAGGTTCTGGATGTGTCTGGCACACTTAAAAGGAATTGGGTGCATAGGCCTGTGAGGGGAATAGGTCAACTCTAGGCAGCTGTGATGACGTGACGTCCAATTATGTATGGGGAATATGGTTATCACCCCGTGCATGACTCTGCCCCAGGTTTTGGCCGCTGCCAATGTGGAGTGTGTCACTGTCATGCCAACCGCACGGGCAGAGCCTGTGAGTGCAGCAGGTCCATGGACAGCTGTGTCAGTCCTGATGGAGGCCTCTGCAGTGGGCATGGACACTGCAAATGCAATCGCTGCCAGTGCCTGGATGGCTACTATGGTGCTTTATGTGATCAGTGCCCAGGCTGCAAGACACCCTGCGAGAGACACAGGTGAGGCTGCAGGTCCCACATCTTGGGAGCAGGGGTACAGGGGGCTGGCTGAGCACTCCTATTCCTTTCTGCATGTGTGGGGGTGAGGACCAATGGGGTTAATGCCCAGCTGGTAACTTCTTGGGGTCTGCTGGGCAGGGACTGTGCAGAGTGCGGGGCTTTCAGGACTGGTGCCCTGGCCACCAATTGCAGCATGGCTTGTGCTCATGCCAACGTGACTCTGGCTTTGGCCTCCACCCTGGATGACGGCTGGTGCAAAGAGAGGACCCTGGACAACCAGCTATTCTTCTTCCTAGTGGAGGAGGAGGCCGGAGGCAGGGTCGTGCTAAGAGTGAGACCTCTAGAAAGTAAGTGGGTGAGGATGCTGTGGGCATGCCAAGTGGGGCCCTGCACATTTGATAGGCAGGGCCTCAGTACTCTGAAGACGAGGAGGTAAAGATAGTGGGAAACCAGGTTGGGAGGTGAAGCAAAGCTATGAATCACAGGGTGAAGGCAGAGGTGACAGGCCACGTACATTAGGCAAAGGCCCTGGGCGCTGAGGATAACTTTGGGTCCCACAGGGTTCACTTTGCTTTCAATGCGAGGCAGGGCTGGGGAGGCTAGATGGGGCTGGGGAGGCTAGATGAGGCTGGGTACAGCAGAGGCAACTGTTGATCTATCCCTATGCCCCAGCCCTCAAATGTTTGGGTCCTGTTTCTCCCCTATAGAGGAAGCAGACCACACCCAGGCCATTGTGCTGGGCTGCATAGGCGGCATTGTGGCAGTGGGGCTGGTCCTGGTCCTGGCTTACCGTATCTCAGTGGAAATTTATGACCGCCGGGAATATAGTCGCTTTGAGAAGGAGCAGCAGCAACTTAACTGGAAGCAGGTGAAGATATTCTGCCTCCTACCTCTCTGGGCTGGGTTTTACTTGCTTCCCATGGTTCGATCCCTTTCTTGCTCTCTGCTTCCCTACCCCACACCTTGCCCTGACTCCTCCCACCTAGGCCATGCTCACCTTGGTCTGTCCTTCCTCTGCACATCCACCCTTACTTCTTTGCCCCACCCCTCTGTTAACTTCAGTCAGCTCCTAGGGTCCTGCTCAAGTTCTAGACTGGCCTCTTAGGACTAAAAGGGATGAGGAATCCTGGGACCTTTCCTCATATTTCTAACCTCTTTCCCCAGGACAATAATCCTCTCTACAAAAGTGCCATCACAACAACCATCAATCCTTACTTTCAAGCAACAGAGAGTCCCCCTTCCTGAATGGGGAAGGGACACTTGCCCCGGGGCTCTTCTCTTTGGCAGGACAATGGGAATTTTGTGCGATGGTGGGGGTCCATCAGACAGCAGCCTGGGAGAGGACCCACCCATTGCCAAGGGGCAGTTTCCACCTTGCTTTATTTTCAGTGATACCCAAGAGGGCTGCCTCCTACTGCTGAAACTTTGCTTTCCTACCTCACGAGGGTGTTCCCCCCACCCAAGTGTACAATAAAGTCTTATCTCAGACCTCAGTTGTCATTTCTTCCCAACCAAGGCCAAAGCAGGCTGTTTAGCCTGGGCCTCGGGAAAGCCCTGTTCATTCCTCCTCCAGCTACTGAGGGCATGAAGAGGTTCTCAAACTCGAACGTGTAGAATTATGAAACAGGCTGATTCACCAGGTCTGGAATGGACTAGCTAGTGAATTCACTTCCCAGGTAATTCTGATGCCATGAGGGCTACAGAACACACACTGAGAAACACTACATTTGCTGATATTTAAGCTCATTCTGCTTGCTGTATGCATTCTCTCTCTTGTTCAGAATTAATTAATGCTCTTTACTTCTACTTACTGCTCCTCTGTAGAATGGGAGACAGAGTGGTCTATAGGGTGCTCAAAGTTGTGTGGTGGTCATACTTGGGGGATGAAGGAAAACCACTCAGGCCCCAGTGAAAAAGTGTCCCCAAAGACTATTTTTCCAAAGGAGGAGACAGTATGTAGAAAAGCCCCATTTTCTTTTTATTAAATATCCTAAATATATCACGAAGGAACATACACTGCACTTTAATGGTAAAAAGATACAAGTTTATAACATCTTATAAAAACTACCATTTAAAAGTGATCTTGTTCATTTGATATTCCCCTCCCCCAATAGCAAAATAAGTATATTAAAAAAAAAAAAAAAGAGGGTAGAGAGGAAGGGTAGGAGAGGGATTGTTGAAGATAAAAGCCCCAGGGCCATAGGAGAGGCAAAGGGCATCTGGGGGAGAAGGTTAAAAGTTGTGGCAGGACTCCACTCCTCATTTAACCCTCCCATATCAAGCCATGGGGCACGATCAGTAGCTAAGTGATGACAAGAGGCTGTTGGAGGGTGGACGGAAAACACTCGGGGTGCTGGGAAGGGCAGGGCTGGCAGGGCCTGGGGCAGCAGCTCACCCAGAAACTGGTGCTATTCTTTTTCCCAGGTCCCGGAACTCCACAACCTGGTTTCTGAGAGCCTGCCTTATCTCCCTTTCCCCTCACTCCAAACACACCTGAGACATCTTTCCAGTGCTAGGCCCCACCCCTGCAGAAGGGGTGGAGCATTGGACCTAGAAGCCTTTGCAGCCATCTTAAGTCTGTGGTTTCCCTGGGGTATAGGTCGGGCTCCTGGGCCCTCTGGGTGTTAAGTCACTCCTCTCACCCATTTGCTCCTCACACATCCACTGCCCTAGAACAGCAGCACCTGCACAACTGAACTAACCACATGCTCCTGAATTCCTTCCTGCCCTTCAATCCTTGGCAGGGGTGGTTCTGGTATGGTCCTTTGCACATATGACCAGAAATTCCTTCCCTCACACCCATCCAGGCAGGAAGCCAAGGCCTGTGTGAAGGGCCAGGGCACACACTGATCTAGTTCTGATAACTGAGGGTTATCAATCACGCCTGTGATTCTCTCCACACACACTCCAATCTTGGACTAGCTCCAAGTGGCAGGGAGAACCCTCCTATTTTCAAAAGCGCTTTTGGGGGGATAAATTTTTCTTAATGTGTCCTGCTTCCCAGAATATATTCCTAGAGGTGAAAAAGAAAAAACCCAGCCCCATCAGAGCTCTCTAACAGTAAGGGGGCTGGCTCACATGCAGCGAGATGCCCCTGCTTGCAGGGACCACAGGACAAATCCAAGGACTGAGGTCTAGGTTCTGGACATCAGACAGGAGCTTCAACATAAAGCTGGAAGAGTGCAAGGCAGCAAACACATTCCCCAGCGTCTCCCCCAAGGGATCTCAGATGCTATCAGGGAAAATCTAAAAGGTCCCCTACCTCCTTTTTTTTCCCCTAAAATGTTCATACCTCAGAAATATGGAAGAACCCCACCTTGAAAATAGCCAGGAGGTTGCTGCTGCTGTTTATTCTCTACGTTTCCTGGAAAATGAAACCACACTTCCTGGAGGTTGCCATCTCAGACCTCCACTGACAACTTGGTGCTCAGGTTCACCTGGTCTCCATGATTATTCCAAGACAGTTCCCCTGTCCCCACAGGTCAGGGCAGGCCACAGTGGGGGGGTCAACCAATCCCCAGCAACTCCCATAAGGATCCTTTCCTTAGCAGGAAGAAAGATTTTTATTTCACCTTAGAAAGTTCATGTTCACAAGTCCCTGGCCTGGATTGGAAACACCCTAACAACCAGTCTATTCAATCAATTTTTTAAAACCCTCCAAAACAAAGCTCTCCTGTCCCCTAAACTGAGTTCCTCAGCTCCTGCTGGAACCTCAAGCAACCTTCAGGTCTGGGTGGGGGGAGAATGCTGTTTTATGTTCATCCTCCCTGAAGGTGAGGGCCTGAGAAGGGTTTGGCTCAATAATATGCTATCTCCTCCAAGCACACAAACACGAACACTCATCACATACACACATATACCCCTGGTCACTTTTTGGGGAGTGGATAGGATGGTGGTGTGGGAGCAGCAAGGAGCAAAGAATACTGGTTAAGAATAAAACCCACCTACATTAGGTTTCTCCCTCAGTTCTTTCTCTGCAGGCTCCACCCACTCCCACCATTCTTCACTGGGTAGGAATGGCCATCAAGAAGGAAGCCAAGATCTTGTTCTTTGGGACAAAAAACCAGATCTCTATCTCCTCTACCTGAATACAGTGATAGGACTTGGGCAGGCAGAACAGCTCCTACTGCTCAACAGTCATGTCAGAGGACACCAAATTTGTTTTTTTCCCCAACAGCTGTTGCCCAACTTTGGACTAGTCTTGGGCTGTTCCTAAGAGGGCACAAAGAGAACCCACTTTGACATCCATGACTCCCGATCAACACGTCTGTCTGTCTTTAGAAGTCAATGGCAGTGAGGTAGCCACAAACTCTCTCCAAGATCAACTTCCCAAAGAGAGAAGAAACGGGCTTTATGGGCCACTCCCACTCAAGTTTCCTCCAAAAGGCACTTGAGCTGACCCCATCAGGTACCTGTGTGGCATGGGCCATTATAATACCCATGGGCACAACTCTTGCTTGTCCCCTGAGGAAGAGGTACCTGTCCACTCTTCTTGGATCCAGCCCTTGTCAGCTCCTTCCACTGTTCTTCCTTTTGTCCCTACAGTGTATAAGGAGGCCCAAGTAAGCTCAGCTGCCACCCCTGATCCTATTCTCCCTCAGATAGGAGGTGAGGCGCAGGGCTGTGGAATACTGAGGATCAACTGCAACTAAAAACTCAATTTTTGGGGAGGGCTGGACCAGCCATAGTCCCTGCTTTGTACCAGGACTCTATGCATCCAGATTACCTGTATCCATAGTTTACCTGCTGAAATTGCTTTTGGATAAACAAAAACAAGAACAAAACTAACAAAAAATCCTTTTCCCCAATCTTTTCCTTTTCAGCTGCCAGCTGGAGTCCAAGGTTGTGGGAGCCACACTTCAGTCTTGGTCCTGTACCTTGACTCCCCCTCTTACGACCTCAGCCAAGGGTCCAGGGACTAGTTCCCCCACCCAGGGATGCTGTAGAACTTCCCCAAGATACTCATAGTCTCAGATTATTTACAGAACTGAGGCTTTGAGGCTGCTGTCCCCTGATGTACTCTTCTGGTCTCCTGGGTCCACTCTTCCAGGAGGGGGCAGGTACAGATGGGGTGGTGGTGGGACCATCGACCAGAGGGGGTGCGCTCTTCGGTAGATTCTTCTGATCATTCCCACCACCTGGGGCCCCTTGCACCTATAAAGAAAACTGCCCATCGGAAGTCTTGGACTGGCACCCTTGGCACATCCGTTTGTGTCTGAGTAATCGATCTGTCCGAGAAAAACACTGAGAAGAGAGGGAGGGTTAAGTGCCTAGAAGGAGAAACTCAGCCACCTGTTGGTACACATCACACTCTATGTCTCTTCAGTATTTACACAGATGGCACAAGCACACAGTGGTTAGGAATGCAAACCCTGGAGCCAGAGTGCCCAGGTCTGCGTCCTGGCTCCAGATTTACTACCTGTGTGACCTTGGGCAAGTTATCTAACAGCTCTCAATCGGGCACTCATCTGTAAGACAGGGCTAAAAGGATCTGCTCACAGCTCCTTTAGTCATCAAAAATTTACTGAGTATCTACCTTGAGACAGGTATAGCTCTTGGTATTGAGGATATAGTGGAGAACCAGTGGGACAAAGTCTCTGCCCTCATGAACTTTCACTCTAGTGTTTTGAATATGCGATGTAAGAGCATGGAACAATGCTTGAGACCCAGCAAAGCATTCAGGAAGTGTTAGCTGTTATCATTACCATCTCTTGCTCTTGTCTAATTTTGGTCCTGGCTCTTACATTATCATCAAATCAGACACTGCTACCCAGAGCAGAGATTTTATCTTTTCCTCCAAAGTACAGAAGCTCTGAAGTTGGACTGAATCCCAGCTCTGGTCTTTACCTGCTGCGTCTTTGGGAAACTTAACTGCTCTGAATCTCAATTTCCCCATATATGAAAAGAGAATGAAGACAACTACCTTGTAGCGCTTTTGTGAGGATTAAATGAAATAATCTATGGAAAGTAACTCATCACAGTACCTGGCACAGATTAAGGGCTTAAGAAATGCTACTGTTATTATTATTACTATGATTACTCTAATGGTCCCCACCATTAGAATAAGCTGTATAAGGCCAGTAAGATGCACCTCTTCTGAGATGCTGATTCTATTAGGGTAAGGAGAACCAGGTGGGCCCCTTGTCAAGGCACAGAGTGGGGGCTGGCCCTGGTCAAGGAAAAGTTTGTGTGTGGAGGCTGGGGGATGACATGTAAGCCTTACCTGATGACACCGTTCACACTGGTAAGGCTTTTCGCCACTGTGTACACGCTTGTGGCGCTCCAGGTGATACTTCTGGATGAAGCGCATATCACATATATCACACTCAAATGGCTTCTCACCTGGTCCAAGTAGAGAGAGAAGCAAATGTAAGGAGGTATACATATGGTACGGAAACTCATTCCAGGTGTTTTCCCAGATACTTTAACTCTTAGCAATGCATAGACCAAAGCTATCAAAAATGGGGAGGGGTCCTCAAAGCTGCTAGTCCCAGTGGCAGCAGACACAGAGCCATGCAATCTTTTTACCTCATTCACTTACCTTCTTCCGCGATTTCTAATACGTGGCCTTTAAAATAAACCCAACTAGGGTTCTACGCTCACACAGAATACAAGTGATAGACTATTCTCCCCCTTCAAATACAGACAAGAGACTTACCAGTGTGAATAAGGATGTGCCTCTTGAGGTGGTAACTGCTCCTAAAGGCTCCAAAGCAGTGTTGACAAATAAAATTTTTGGGGATCTTTACTTGAAAAGAACCATTTTGTTCCACTACCACCACCTAGGGGCAACAATCAGGCATGTCATGAGGCTATTCCTCTGTGTCTTTCCTGGAGAGACCATTCTACTGTGTCCTCTTCCAGCTGCTGGACAAAGGAACCTGTCTGTGGCTTGGTTTGCTTTTCTCTCTACTCTGACTAAAGAGCTGTCATCTCTCATATTGCTTAGCATTAAGAGGGGAAGGAGGTGTGGTGGGTAAGCTGTCTGCCTTGTCAAACCCAACACTCTGAATATGACCTGAGGGGCAGTCTGCCTGGACCTCTGCCAAAGGATCCCATGCCTATCCACTTCTTTCCCTTAGTAAGGATGTTCCAGAGAGGGCAGAGATCAACTACTACAGTGGTTTCTGCATGAAATCAAGGTGACGCATTTACTGGTTGTGAGGGGCCAAAACGTCTAGGGAAAGTTCCAAGTTGAGTCACGGGGGAGGAGGAAGACTACCACATTACCCAACTGCATAAGTTCAGGAGATTACCCCATTACCTGCCTTTTTAACAGTCTTTTTTGAATGAGAGGCCTCAGCCAAGCTGTCATCATCTTTGCGGCTTCGGGACTTATCGCTGTCTTTTCGGTGGCCCTTTAAATACAAATCAAATCTAAACTCATAGTCCATCTCAGAATACAAGACAGAAAACCAGACGCTGTTTTCAGATATACAATTATAAATGAGAGTAAACCACCTGCCCTAAAGGCTTAGAGAAAGTGTCCATTCATCCCCTTTCTACAGACCCTGATCTTAAGGGGTGTAGGTAGAGAAAAGACCTTCATAATCTCTCTAAAATATCCATGTTCATTTATTCCCCAGCTGGATTCCTTTCCCCACTTCCCTAAATGGAAGCACTGAGGAATCAAAGCTTGGCATCTCCTGGCAGAGAGCTTGGGCCACCCAATCCCCAGGTGCCACACTGGACTCAAGAGCTGTACCTGACTTGAGCACCTCAGCACATCAGGGCTACCTGCCCGCTCGCCATTCTCGGCCTGCTTGCTGGCAATCTGGCTCAGCATCATCTTCTTGCTGGCTGCAGTGGGAACCAAACTCACACCTGCTAGGCCTTCACAAGCCAGGAGACTTGCCTAAGTTGAAAGGAGATAAGGCGTCAGGTCACCTGGCAGGGCAAAACAGGCTGCCATCCTATAGAACTACCTTTTACACCCAGCTACAAACTGCTTCTCTCCAAAGAGTGTCACTCTTCACTTTCAAACCCTGCTTCTTTCAAGAGTTCTCCCTAACTCATCTCACCAGGAACTAATTACTTATTCTGAAGTCCCTCATCATTTAAATACAGAGCAGATGAATAATCAAGTATTATCGACAAGTCTATGTCATTAATACTGTACTAGATACAGTATGAGTATGTATGTAACACTTTGAAGACATTTCTAGGCCTTAACTGTGAATGGATATGAGGGTCTGTTCTGCTGACCCACTGAAATGGAAGATCCTAGGGCACTGTTGTTCTTCCTCTCCCAAAAGCACTCAGCTTCACAAAGCCTATTTCTGCTTGGTAGACCTCACCGGTACCAACTATATATTCTATCACGTCCCACGAATATGTTTATCAGTAAATGGAGGTCATTTCTCTCTTTACATTTAAAATTCCCTAAGTTTTGTCAACTACAAAGGATATAAAAATTAAGCCACTTGCAAGGATTTTGGAGTTGAATATACAATTTCTCTTGACCCTCCTAGCTATTTATATGTGTGCATGTATGTCCAAATTTCTTCACATTCCCTGCTCTACATACAGTTTAAAAAAATACTTAAGCAAGGGATGTTTACGTAAATTTTCACTTTTCATCACTACATGCTTCAAACCAACTTTGCTTAGCTACCAGTAGAGAATATACTATTCTTACTGAAAAAAACTCTTAAGAAATAGTTGGTTAGCAAACTCCCAAAAGTTACTTATAGAAAAATTCCTTTTTGTATTATCAGTATAACCTGGGACCCCTTTGCCCTGCGCTTCAGGGACTTTGGAGTAAAAGGTTTGAAGTTAAAAACCTTAGCTCTTGTGTTTGCAAACTGTGTAATCTTGGGCAAGTTACTCAACCTCTTTAAGCCTGAAATGCAAAATGCCTACAATACCTATCCTCACAGAGTTAATGACAATTAAATGAAGATGTAAAATGCTTAGCAGGGCCCAGCACTAAGCTAGTGCTTAGTGAAAGGCAGCTTTCTTAGAACAAGAGTTGCTGTGAAGTGCAATGCAACCAAAGAAGAAACTGAAGGGCTCCTACTCGGCATGGAAAGGAGGAAGCTGGGCGTGCAAAGGCAACTGGAAGAAAGCCAGTTATACTATAATCAGGCTGCCATCCTGGTGAGACTGGTAGAGGAGGTTCCCTGGAAGACTGTTGGGAGTGGCTTTGGGGATGCATACACATAGCGCTTCTACACATACAACTACAATAGCCTATCTGGTCATTCTGCTTCTCCAATCCATCTACCACTCCCACAATGACAATTACTTTCTAAATACACTGATCTGCTGTCACTCTGCTGTTTAACATTTTTCAGAGTCCCCATTCCCTGAAGAATAAAGTCTAATTCCTTAGCAAGACATAAAAAGCCCTTGGGTTAGACTCTGCTTACTCCAGGAGACAACTCTCCCCTCCACAACTATCCCCATGTAAATGCTTTGCTTCATTAACAGCCAACTACCTACAGTTTCGCCAACTGCACCATGTTCTCCCGTGCCTCTAAGCCCTTGCCCATGCAGTTCCACTTGTCTGAATGTCATTCTCTGTTTGCTTACCTAGCAAAATCCTATGCATCCTTCAAGTCTCATTTTTGTTCACTCAGGCAGAGGTATCATTCCCTCCTCTACAGTGTACATACCTCTATTATTAAACATTCCTTCTATCAACAGAGATTCACTGAGTTTCTACCACTAGCAAGCCGCTATGCAAGGTGCTGTGAATAGAAAGGTAAAAAATATACTGTCTCTCCATCCCCCATCCCTGCCAACTAGCCTGGAAGCTCTCTGGGGGCAGGAACAATGTCTTATTCATCTTTATATCCTCAGCACAATGCCTTACATGTAACAGGAGCTCAATAAATTCCTGCTGAAAAACAAATGAAGCATTCACCAGACTGTTCACTCCCTCATGCCCCTTAGCACTTAATGTACCAGGTATGAACTGAGTACATGTTGCTTTGTAAATGTCCCATCAGTGCCTGTGATGCAGTATAGCCTACCTCCTTCATTTGATTGGAAGCTCCCTGAAGGCAGGGGCTGTGGCCTGTCTCCTTTCCTTCCTCTAGATCTCCCCCTGGTGCTTAATACAGAGCTTGGCTCACTGGGGTTGGTCAGTATGTTGACTAAGGCAGAATTCAAGAGTGAAACTGCAAACACGCTTCCCAGTGATCTTGAAGTAGGAGGACTCTAGAGCTTTTTACCTGAGCCATGCTGATTTCTCACTTAATGCAACCCAAAAGTTCAGGAGTTTCTTGATCCACTTTTCCTTAAGACACTGTCGTTTGAAGAACTGTCACCAAATCACTGTAATGACTCCTCTGTGTCCCTTCAGTCCTGCTGCCATACTGAACTGCCTTTGTCTTCAAATAGAACTTAGTGTCCTCCAAAGGAAAGAGAGGTGTTCCAAGAATCCTTGGACTTTGCCTGGCTCCTGCCTACTGTCTGAAAAAAAAGTCTGCCAGTACTGGTTTTCCAGTTGAAGTCTCTCATCGAGGCTCACGATCTGTTTCAGAAACCTGAAACCAGAAAGGGAATTGTGACCATTAAGAACAACATCATCAGGCTATACAACCTGTGGTGCGCTAAACTTTTTTTGCTGGATGCTCCTGAGGCTCTCAAAAAGTGGTCATGCGGTCTAGGAGACTTTCCTTTCTAGGTCAGTAGAAGAAACAGGTCTCTAAGGCAAGACGGGCTGCCAGTAGGAGCAAAAGTAACTGGGGCTCCTTACAGAGGAACTTTGCCCACACAGCAAGCACTGGGATTTGCTAATTAAAGAATAGAAGAAGGGGGCGGAGGCCCTTTGAGGCTTCTGTGCCGAGTGGGCTGGACCAGAAACTAGCAATCTGTATAAGCGGCCTGGAGAACCGAGCAGCAGGAAACCTAGAGGGCCAACGCTGAGGGCCTGGGTGCCCAGCAGAAACTAGACTGGCAGCGTGCGCCCAGACCGGCTCAAACGTGCGCGTTCTCTAAGTCCGCCCGAAGGTACGGAAACTCGCTGCGGAGGTGGAGGGCAGGGAGGCAAAGCTCGGCGCGGCACGTCCCCTCCCTTCTGCCAACCAGCAGCTGAGCCCGCAGCACCAACCCGGAGGAGAGCGCCGAGGAGCGCGCGAGGTGCGTGCTCGCGCCCGCGCCCGCGCTCCCTCAGTCAAGCCCCCTTCTCCCGCGCCGGGGACGGTGCGCGCGCGCGCGCGCGGCGCCTTCCCCTCCCTCCGCGAGCCCCCTCCCTTCGCCACGCGCCCCTCCTCTCTTCCCCTCCCCCTTCCCGCGCGGCACCCCGCGGCCTGCGAGCTGCTGAAGCGCTGCCGTCTGCGCGGACGACGCTGACTTCTCTGGGGCGTGCGCCTACCTGGCAGGCGCGGCCTCTCACTGTCTCCTCCGTCACGCGGCGCCTCCTCCAGGCTCCAGTACACCGTGCCAACCCCGCGACCGCCGCTGCCCCCGCCGGGACCAAGGCAAGTTTACAAACACCAGCCCGGGGCCCGTTTCCCCGGAAGCACTTCCCCCTCCCCCTCGTCCGCTCCGCCGAGCAGCAACATCCACTTCCGGGCTCGGGAGTCTGGACGGGCGGGGGCAGCCTGAGAGGGGGTGAGGCTGGGGACGCAGGGAGGGGTGGGTGCAGCTGGTGAGTGGGCGGGCACCTGCGCGGGGAGGAACGGCACGAGGGTGGCCTAGCGGGACGGCGCGTGCGCTATGGCGAGGGTGAGCCCTGGCGGCCATCTTGACTGAGGGCAGAAACGAGGGTCCTGAAATAATTACGTGCTGGGTACTCGTTGTGAGGGTTTGTTGGGTGAGTTGGTTAAAACTCTTCGAAAAATGCCATCACTCTCTCTCCGTCACGGACGTTATTTTCGTCGCTTCTGAACCTGAGGCCCCAAGTAGGGCCAGAATAGTTTGTACCCGGCCTTTTCACGGAACTTGGCCAGGGTTGTCTTCCCTGAGGCTTTCCATCAGGCCCAGATCTGTAGATCCTGGGGCCGCCGTACCGTGAACACTCAACCACAATTTGAAAATGAATGCCGTGTCAGAGGCTTTCCCTAGGTAGCCCGAGGCCGCACTGCTCAGGTCTCTGAAGATGTCCGCACACCCCAGGCCGGCCCAGTTACCTTGTACCACTGGTATTCCAGACTGTCCAGTGTCGTAACACTGGCTTTCTTGCTCAGAAAAGGCCATAGGACTCCCCTCAAGGAGGCGATAGGTTCGTTAGGGACAGAGCGATGCAGATTGGCCCCTGAGCTGGACTTTATTGTGGAAATGGAGACGGAGCCTTTACTCAAATTCTGCCCCCAGTTTAGCCATTAGGGAGGGGCCCTGCTAAAGATGGACTATGCAAGATGCACTTGATGGAAGGAAGAATTGACTCCATTTAGGTTTCAGTTTCTGCTGTAGGTGCTATCAGGTTGTGAGTTTAGGAGAATTAATGATGATACGAAAAACTGTATTTATTAAAGAAGTCAAGGATTCCCAACCATTTTTTGTACACAGACTTTATTTCTTTGAGCACTGCACATTTTGGGCCATTGAGAGTAAGATCCTCATGGTCTAAGGCTCGTCAGAAAACTGAGAAAAAGTGGAGGGAGAAAAATGTCACCAGAAATAAAGTCTTTTTTTAATTTTTATTTTTTAATATAAAAAAAATTTTTTTTATTGTGCTTTAGGTGAAAGTTTACAGAGCAAATTAGTTTCTCATTAAACAATACACAAATTGCTTTGTGACGGTGGTTGCCAACCCTGCGATGTGTGAACAGTCTCCCCTTCACCCCAGGTTCCCTTGTCATTTTGTAATCTTGGACAAATTAGTTCACCTTCTTCAGCACAAGAGTCCTTATCCTGAAAATGAGAATGAATAAATAAATATCTACGCTGGGTAATTTGCAGCACTACCATGAGGATAAAATGAGATAATAGATGAGAAGGCTTTGAAAAGAAACAAATCCTTTGCCAGGCAAAGTTATCATTAATATAGATTTCTCTTGATTTATGCAAATCAAATATAAATGGAATACAGCATTAATTTTCTGTACCTGGAAATAGCTGATTGATTGAACAAATATTTACTGAGTGCCTTTGTGCAAGAGGGAAACTTTTTTTTTTTTGGTTGTGCTTTAAATGAAATTTTACAATTCAAGTTAGTCTCTCATACAAAAATTTATACATACATTGTTATGTGACCCTAGTTGCTCTCCCTATACTGTGACAGCACGTTCCTCCTTTCTACCCCGGATTTCCCATGTCCATTCAGCCAGCTCCTGACCCTCTCTGCCTTCTCATCTCGCCTCTGGACAGGAGCTGCCCGTTTAGTCTCATGTATCTGCTTGAGCTAAGAAACATGCTTTTCGTGAGTATCATTTTATGTCCCATAGTCCAGTCTAATCTTTGTCTGAAGAGCTGGCCTCAGGAATGGTTTTAGTTTTGGGCTAATGAAGTTGGGGGGCCATGTCTTCCAGGGTCCCTCTGGTCTCAATCCAACCATTATGTCTGGTCTTTTTACTAGAATTTGAGTTCTGTACCCCATTTTTCTCCTGCTCCATCAGGGACTCTCTGTTGTGTTTACTGTCAGGGCGGTCATTGGTGGTAGCTGGGCACCATCTAGTTCTTCTGGTCTCAGGCTGATGAAGTTTCTGGTTTATGTGGCCCTTTCTGTCTCTTGGTTTATCGATTTTGTTGATCTTTTCAAAGAACCAGTTTTTGGTCTTGTTAAGTCTTCCAGTTTTTCTATTCTCTATTGCATTTAATTCTTCTCTAATTCTTACTATTTCCTTTCTTCTGGCGCCTGAGGGCTTCTTTTGCTGCTCTCTTTCTGCTTGTTCAAGTTGTAGGGTTAATGTTTTGATTTTGGCTCTTTCTAATTTTTGGATGTGTGCATTTGTTGGTATAAACTGACTTCTGAGCACTGCTTTTGCTGTGTCCCAAAGGTTCAGGTAGGATGTGTTTTCATTCTTATTTGATTCTATGAATTTCTTTATTCCATCCTTAGTTTCTTTTATAACCCAGTGGAACTACCATTTTTTGAGTACCTATTTTGTATTTATCCACCCAGAGGCACCTAGGAAGACAGGCCTGGCAATCTGCTTCCAAAAGGTCACAGCCTTGAAAACCATATGGAACAGTTCTACTCTGCACACATGGGTTGCCATGAGATGGAATTGACACATGGGCAACTAAGAACAATAATGTTTTGTGTTTGGTGCTTTATTTAAGGAAGGTAAAATTTAGTCCCCTCCCCTCAGGAGTTTATAGTCTAGAAGCAGAGAAAACAACGTACACAAAAAGAGTATTGGTGCTTCTGTATTAATGTGGGTGTTTAATCAGTGGGGCTTGTTGACAGGTAGCAGACAGGGCAGTGTTTTAACTAAGAGTAAACCTGGCTGGAAGTGCTTTGAGAGGCAACTGCCTTTACCCTTTTGCCCCCAGGCAAGCCTCCCCCTCTGTGACCTTGCTTAACTTCCTAGGCACACGCAGCCCTCTGGCCCTCCCCATCACTTATTCAGATAGCATTGTAATGATTACTAGTTGGTCTTTCTTCTCTGCCAGCTCCCTATCTCTCTAGGAGAGCCTGAGTATTTTCTCCTTGAATTCAGCCCAGGCTAATTGAGCAGAGTTTCCTGCCTTTCCTTCCTGACTGCCCCACTCTTTTGTGGCAGTCATACCTTGATTTTACATTCGAGTCTCTGTGCTGGCCTGTTAGCCATGCATAGGGCAGAGCATAGGGCAGACACAGTGTGTGGGCTAGTGCCAGGCACACAGAAATAGACAATCTATGGTGGCTGAACTAGCTGAACTGTTCCTCTGTCATAGAGCCAGCTGGGGCTCTGTAATAAAGATGAGCAGTATATGCATACCTTTGCCACCCCTTAGACCTTTCTGATGATAGTGAATTGAGGAATTGGGAAACCACATCATGTACTTACTAGGGACATCCTTGAGTTTGATGATTTGTATATTTTGGGAGTTCTTGTTGCCCCTTTATTCTCCCTTAGTCTTTTTGTTGTTTAAAAATAATCTTTATTTTTTCACATTAGATAAGTAATATTAAATTATCCCGTAAAATTATAAAAATATAAAAACCAGTTGCTGTCAAATTGATTCCAACTTATGGTGACCCCGTATGTATCAGAGTAGAACTGTACTCCATAAGGTTTTCAATGGCTGATGTTTTAGAAGTAGATTTCCAGGACTGTTCTCCAAGGTGCCTCTAGGTGGGCTTGAATTTACAACCTTTCGGTTAGCAGCTGAGCAGATTAACCATTTGCACTACTCAGAGACGTCTATAAAAATAAAGGTGAGTATAAATAAGAAAAATTAAAGTTGCCCATAATTCCACTAACCAAAAATAACCAAAGTTAATATTTTTAGGTCTTTTCCTTTCTTTTTCAGTTTTTTTTTTTAACGTATACTGAGGCTAGAGGGTTATGGAAAGTGACTGCTAATGGGTGTGGAGTTTCTTTTTGGGATGATGAAAATGTTCTGGAGTTAGATAGCGGTGATTAACACACAATTTAGTGAATGTACTAAAAACTACTGAATTGTACACTTTAAAAGGATTAACTTTTTGATGTGTGAATTATACCTCAGTAAAGCTTATTTTTCCAAAATGCGTATAGATACATTCATATAGTATTACTTTTTTGTGAACTATTTAAGAGAAAGTTGCAGACAGCGTGTTCCTATACTGCTGAATGTTTCAGCCTGTTTTCTAAGAACAAGACCATTTTCTCACATAACCACAATACAATGATCAAATTAAGGAAATTTAACGTTGATAGAATACTATTGTTTATGATACCATCCATATTTAGATTCCACCAGTTGTTCCAATGTTATTTATGTTGTTGTTGTTGTGTGCCATCGAGTCAATTCCAACTCATGGCGACCCTGTAGGGCAGAGTAGAACTGTCCCATAGGGTTTCCAAAGAGCAGCTTGCGGATTTGAACTGCTGACCTTTTGGTTAGTGGCTGAGCTCTTTACCACTGCACCACCAGGGCTCCAATGTTCTTTATAGTAGGGTTTTTTCTTCTTTATCCAGGAGTCAATCTATTGTTGTAGTTTAAGTGA